CATGCATGCCTGTCTACCACCATGCTTTCCACCATACTGATTATGGACTAACCCTCTGAAACTGTAAGTAAGCCACCAATTGAATGCTTCTGTTTGTAAGTTACATTGGTCATCATGTCTCTTCAGAGCAATAGAGCAGTAACTAAGATGGTAGTTTTAGAAGATATAGACTAACTAAGAAGTATGTTATAGATTTTGAAGTTTCAAAGCCACATAATCATTCCCAGCTCCTTCTCTAGTTCATGTTTATGGTTTGAAGATGTGAGAACCCTCAGCTTCCTGATCCAGTCTCCACACCTACATGCTTCTATCATGGGCTCTTATCCTCTAGAACCATAAGCCCAAATAAACTTTCTTCCAAAAGTTACCTTGGTCCTGTGTTTTCTTACAACAATAAAAAAAATACCTAGTATTCCCACAGACATTCCATAGGCCAATCTGATCTATACAATTCCTTAATTTGAGGTCCTCTGTTTTCCAGGTGATTCCAGGTTGTGTTGGGCTGTCAATAAAACCAACAGGATAATGCTTTATTGCGTGGATCTGTTTCTAGTTCCTGTACTCTGTTTACAAATATGTTTACTTATTCTTTTACCAAAACCACACTGTCCTGCTTATGGTAGCTTATTGTAATCTTGAAATCATGTTGTGAAAATATTCCAACTTTATTTTTTTCCAGTAGTGTTCTGTTTTAGGTCCTCTGTATTTATACACACACACACACACACACACACACACACACACACACACACACGAGTCTGATGATTTTCATTTTTAAAAGCAACTAGAATTTTGACTGAGACTGACTTGAATCTATGGAACAATTTGGAAAGTTTGCATCTAAGCAATATAATATATCAATCAATGAGCATGGCATATCATTCCATTTATTCAGGTCTTAAACTTCTCTCAATCATGTTTGAGTACTTAATATAAAATGCATACATATTTCTTACTAGTATTACTCTTGAGTACTTTATATGCACAAAAGCTATTGACTTAGTTACTTTTCTGTTGATGTGATATACATCATGACCAACACCAACTTGAAGAGGGAAGAGTTCATTTGCTTTACATATTCCAATGCATGGATCTGTTTCTAGTTCCTGTACTCTGTTTACAAATATGTTTACTTATTCTTATACCAAAACTGCACTGTCCTGCTTATTGTAGCTTATTGTAATCTTGAAATCATGTTGTGAAAATATTCCAACATTCTCAGTCTGTCATTGAGAGAAACCAGTACAGGAACTCAAAACAGGAACCTGGAAGCAGAAACTGAAGCAGAACCATGGAGGAATGCTGCTTACTGGCTTTCTCCTCATGACGCCTCACTGCCCAGAGTAGGCTGGGCCCTCTCACACCAGTCACTAATTAATAAAAAATCCACATATTCACCTACAGGTCAGTCTGATAGAGGCATTTTCTCAACTGAGGGTCCCTTTTCTGAGATGACTCTACCTCGCACCATGTTGACACAAAACTAACCATTACCATTGGTCCCTTGTCAATTTGATACATGAATATATCACTATTAAAACCATAACCTTTCCTTTTTATTTATTCCCAAGATTCCTTATTATTATTATTATTATTATTATTATTATTATTATTATCATTTACATACACAGGGTTTCTCTGTGTAGTTTTGGTGCCTGTCCTGGATCTCGCTCTGTAGACCAGGCTGGCCTCAAACTCACAGAGATCTGCCTGGCTCTGCCTCCCAAGTGCTGGGATTAAAGGTGTGTGCTACCACCGCCTGGCTCCTTGTTAATATTATAACATAAAGTGCAGTGTAGCTTTAAATGTCACAATCCTTTTTTAAAAATTCAAACACTTTAAAAGTTTAGTCTCTTTAAAATATCCAATACCCCACTAGAAGTCCAAAGTCTTTTAATTGTGGGGTCCTGTAAAATCAAAAACAACTGAAATACTTTCTTATTCCAAAAAAGGACCAAGTCTCAGTCACAATCAAAGCCAAGCCAAGCCAAATTCTTAGCAGTGTAAACAACTCAGTATCTACTGTCTTGGTCTCATTCAAGATCTTCTGGGTTCCAAAGGACTCAAGCAATGGCACTTTTCTGGCTCTGTCATCTGCAGGCACAGATGGCTTGTCTTACAGGCTCAGGCCAGCTCTATTACTTACTAACTCTGTCCTTGATGAGTGTCTCATGGTCCCAGTGCCTCCAACACACTGGGGTCTCCACTGCAAGTGAGGCTGCTCCTACACCAATATTCTGGTTAAATTAATGTCTATTCACTCCAAAGTGATTAAATGCTTACTTTCCATACTGAGACAGCTGAAGAGACTTTGCATTTGGCACACTAATAAATGTGTAATATATGTTCATTGAAACCGTGCTGGGCTAGACTGGCTTCTTTTTATAGAATCTAATCCTGCTACATGGTGCAAAGCTTCAGCTTCTTCTTTTTGACCCCTTAAATCCCAAGTCTTCACTACAATGGAGACTGCATCGTCACCAATGGCCTCTCCTGACCTCTTACAGTGTTAAGCTTCAGCTGCTCACCATGACCCCTTCAATTCTGCAGCTTCTAGTCTGCTAACCTGGGCTACATGGTGAGTCTAGAACGGTATTTGGGGATATGCTGAGACACTTTGCTCAGCCTTGGTGTAGGGAGGAGGGGACTGGACCTGCCTCAACTGAGTCTACCAGGCTGGGTTGACTCCCTGGGGGAGACCTTGCCTTGGATGAGGTGGGAATGGGGGGTGGATTGGGGGGGGGGAAGGCTGG